AGTAAACGAATTTGCTTGGTGCCAATTTACTTTGCTAAAGTCGTTTGAATCACAATTGCATTTTCTTAACGCTTAATTTTTTGGTTAATTTGTGACTGAAGCAAACAAGTGAATACGGACAATAATAATAATTAACTCGCTTTAAATTTTAATTTAGAATATTAAGCAGTGAAGAATACCGAAAATTATAGAGGAAACTCATGATCTCGTCATCACCTGATGGGTTAAATTACGTCTCATAATACTTTTCCTTCCCTGAACGATAAGTATTTGCTTATTGTAATAACGAAGGCAATGTCGTCAACAAACTCGCATGAATTATCTGATCAACCAGAAAATTGTCTCCGAAAATGCATGAAACTGAAAGCTCATTCGAAGATAAAGTTTCTAATGTAAGCGAATTGATGAAGGTTCTTGGGAGACCTTTCTGTATCGTTTAGAGGAAAACCAAATAGTAAAATGCAATGCGCAATTATTCCTGAGCTGCCTTGGTAGCTCAAACTGGAAGAAGGTAGCCGTATAGCCAGCGGGTAAATGTGAGCTCCTATAAATTACAAAGGCATGGGTTTATAATTTGTTTGTCTACTCAATGATAAGGTTGTTGCTTTGAGGGCTGCAATATGGTGGACAAGCGTACCAATGGCATCGTGTTTAGCGTGAGATTGGGCGATTCTGGCTATTGATGCAAGTCAGACATTATTAAGGAAGTGCGTTCATTGGACACATTTGCCGTTCAACAGAATTTTAATTCTGTTCACCAGTTTAAGTTAGCTCATTAACTTGAAGGTACGGTTCGCGCTGATGAACTCGTTGATGCTCCGGTATAAGAGCTTAAACCGTAAAGGCAATTTTTTCCTTGCAAAATTATTTTCTAAGCTAAAACCCTGAGCACGGAGGAGGACAAGGATTCTATAGCAGCTTATACTCTACTTGCCATTTCTATCTGGTTCTTAGAAACAACCTCAATTATATCTCCTGCTCCAGTGAAACATGCAAGGCAGCAATGCATTTAAGCTAATGTTGTTGACGGTCTGCTATTGCAGCGCTAGCGATCCATGCAGTAAATGATCCACTGTAAGCAATACACAAGAATGGCGATCAATTCAAGACCGTATTGACCTCATTTATTTCACGATCTAATTCATTATATTAAGCACCACAGAACATCGTTCATTTGAATCTGATATTGTGATTATCTCGTGGCCCGAGCGCCATACCATCGCTGATGAGGAGTCGCTCGAATCTTGGATTCCCTTTAACGCGCACGAGACGCGGGGCTGGGAGGGCGATGGTGTGGCTCTATAGTGGCCAACGGGCGGGCGCTCACATGCCCGAAGAGTCGAGACACGGGGCTGGTGGGCGATGGTATGGCTCTATTGTGGCCAACGGGCGGGCGCTCACGAGCCCGATGAGTCGAGACGCGGGGCTGGGAGGGCGATGGTATGGCTCTATAGCGCTCACGAGCCCGATGAGTCGAGACGCGAGGCTGGGAGGGCGAAGGTGTGGCTCTATTGTGGCCAACGGGCGGGCGCTCACGAGCCCGATGAGCCGCTATGGCCCACAATGGCAGAAATGAGAAGTTGGCTCATTGAATTTTTTAAAAGTTGGACTGAAGTAATCCCCCATGGGAACACGACTTCAGCTAAATGACTCGGTTACTGTCCCGGAGTAGAATATACAATTACGATAAGACAAGTTAAATAAGTATAGCTTATGAATCTATTACATTTGAATGAATCCCTATGAAGCATTATTTTATTAAAACCAATGAAACTCTAACATCCACGCCATTACAAGCGTGGATGTTAGTACTTTTCCTGACCTCAATTAAATGTCAGCTTTTAAGCGGCGTCAGCCTGAGTCCGCCTTTGATTTGTTAATATTAACAATAACTTAGAATAATAATTTTCTAGATAAAAATATAGTGGTTAACTAATCCTTGCTGGTATATGGTGTGCAAGGAATTGTATTAACCAAAGAAGCTACGTTTTCAACAAATTTTCATTCATCGTATTATAACTCTTGAAACTTTGCACTCGCAGCTTCCAGGCTGTAAAACAAAAATAAAATCGGCTATCATAAGTTCCTGGGTGTCCATTATCCATTAACTTGTATGTCCATCGTTTGAAGTCATGCTTGCTCCGAAACCCCAAATTTGGGCTAAGGGAAGGGATTGATTGACGCAACCAGAATTTTAGATGTAACATACCCCACTAACAGAGCCGTGGTCGTGATATTCTGTTGCAGGAATGTGGGATGTGTTTATGCCGCTGCGTGTAGCAAAAGCTTCGTGCTGGCTTGCGACATTTCGCCATCCAGAGCAAATATCGCTTTAAAAACAAGGTTATGCTCAAAGAAATTGGCCACTTTTGACATTCAAAAACTTCATATGCTGAGCTCGTACGATAACGATAAATGTTGCAGTTAAAATATTAAAATACTGCATGCTTTATTAGAAATGCAGGTATAGATATGTTATTTTGAGCATGTTATTTTAGAAATTGTCTTATTTTCATTGTAGCATCAATGCATCATGTATTAGAACTTAAACACAAAGAGAATTAAGCTGCAGCATATGTGAAAGATATTGAAAATTTGTAACAAATCCTTGGGCACGCAACATGAGTTATATACAACAAATTTTTGTTTATTTTTAGTAACTTTAGATATGATAAGGAGTTGAAAATTTTTAACTTAGCCAAGAATAAGATCATCTTACGGCTTACGATACGAGCAGTTTTTTTGTGAAAGCAGCCCTTGAGTCTCGAAAATAATAACGGTCCAGCAGAGGAGGGCATGTGAGATAATGTTGAGATTGAAGACGCTTACAGTTATATTCGTTATCAAGCTTGGCCAGTATTTGCGCATGAGTTCCCAAAGAAGAGAATATTGTGGACTGTGTATTCTGAAACAGCTCCTAGGGGGTCATCAGAAATTTATGTGCGTTAGTGTAACAGGAGCAAGAGTTTGTTGCGGATGTTGCACTTCCATCTTCAAGAACTGGCCACTATATAGTGATCGATATACCGTATTGTGTGGAGGCTTATCAAGCATTTGAGGCTCTCAGCTGGATCATGAGATGGAGTAAGCCCTCAAGAAATGAAGTTTTTAGAAAGGCCTTAGACACCAATATTGGGCGCTAGTTGTTATTGGGCTTCCAGTTGTGCTGGCTCTCTGATGGCTCTGACCCTCAGTTGGCATCGGACGTCAGGTGGTGCTGGCACTCAAAAAGTGCTGGCTCTCACGTGGTGCTGGTTCTCAAGTGATGCTGGCTCTCTGGTGATGCTGGCACTCAGGTGGTGCTGGCACTAAGGAGGTGCCGCCACTAAGGTGATGCTGGCTCTTAGATTGTGCTATACCGCAGTTGGTGCTGGCCCAGAAGTGGTACTGGCCCTCAGGTGGTGCTGGCCCTTAGGCAGTGCTATCCCTCAGGTGGTGCTGGCTCTCAGGTGGTGCTGGCTCTCAGGTAGCGACTCTTTACCTGGTTGTCGCCACCGCGCTATTGATCGATCGTCGGATGCTCGGTCCTCTCACTGATCTCTACCTCAGTCCGCCTCTTTCTTCACCCCTCATCCTCGTTCTATGGCCACCTTCTCTCTTTCTCATGCAGCCAAACTACGTCAACGTCTCTTTTTCTCTTGATTCTTCTTGCCTTTTTATTCTGCACTGATTGCGTTGTGTTGCTTAATGAAGCAAAGCTACACTGTCGTACTTGATCAGCTTGCAGTGCTTTCAAAAACATTACAACCTTCCATCTTATATAGAGTCCTTCCGTTTATAATCCTTCCATCTACAGTCCTTCCATCTGGAGCCCTGACTTCAGTTCGCTATAAATGAAGTACTTCTAAGCAGACAACAACATTGTATTTTAAATCAAAATTTCTGTTAACGGGACAATATAATTCCCAGATTTCTTATTGTCTGTAATTTAGTTTCTCCAAACACGTTGATTGCTGTGATGTCACCCGCTGCTCCTAGCGGATGTTGCACTGCAGCAGCTACTATTGCTTTACTTATTGTTACTTCCAGGATAGGGAGGGAAGTGGTGATTTTGGGCTACTAGTCCCTATAGCAAAATATTTAGGGACTATATTGAAAGCAAACTTGAAGGAGCTTCAAGAAAAAGCAAGATAGGTTTTAGGACTCTTCGTCTTAAATACTCGTAGGAAGGTACTACAAAATAATCCGCAGTATTTCATAATATACAGTTTTTTTAATAACCCAGTTCCATTCTTTGGGAAGTGTCAAATATTTTACATTTCATTCAAATAACTCCACACCATGCCGTAATATCTAACTTTTGCGTAATCTAAATAATTAACTTATCTAACGTAATATCTGACTAATTATGAGCAGTCAGAGTGAACTCGAAAGTATTTGATGAACACTTATTTGAACGCAAAATCCCTCTACCATCATTTCCAGATAATGCACGTTTTCAAAATAAATTAAATAACATAGGTACGAATTTCTGGGCCTCTTTGCAGAGGAACCACGAAAAAACCCGTTGCACGTAATATATTAATTCATTCATATCCCAACATTCAAAAGCTTTCAGTGACATATTACGAATCTGCCCATTTTTAGCGCATTTTCTCATTTATGGAAAAAATGCACTATTGTGCTCGCCATGTCCGTCTGTCTGTCTTTCTGTCCGTCCGTCTGTCCGTCCGTCCGTGACCTCAAGTTTTCGTCGACGAGATGAAAATGCGCTCTCTGTCACTCACTGCAGTGAGTACTGAGTTATATTTTCTCAGTATCGCTTCAGAGTTGGGTTTATAAAGTCTTAATATAGTATAGTATTGTAAAATGTATTTGTGTACAGTGTACCTTTTAATTGTCGCAACCCAGTATTCTTTACGTTGGTTTTTACAGTTTTAACCAACTCTGGCATGACATTACAGTCGTGCTCACGGCCAATTATGCAGTATTTCACGCTCTCAATTAACCGATGAACTTGAACGAAATATCGAAAGTCATTCATGTTCTCTTTCTTTACAGAAGTTCCCTTTAAATTTTTACCCACAGTCAAGCGAGAACAGGAAGCCAAGCAAATGTCTTTTGTTACGGTCTTCGGCAGTATCGGGGCCAACGGCCGATTGCAGGGTCGCCACAACGGTGAGTTCAGCACACCTCACTCATGCGGGATTTTGCCTCAATTCATTTGCCTCCTTAGAATCTTGTTAGCTTAACCTCGCTATTGCTAGGGTTCGTTAAAATTCTTGTCTGCAGGAACCTTGAGCTTCAGTAAGCCAGGATATATTATAACCTCTTTCATGAGGGGGTTGTCCCCTAATCTATAGGCGCCCTTCTGGCTATGATGTCTCATCTTAAGCGCAATACTACGTACATTTGCATTAAATCTTCCTTTTCTGTTCCCCTATTGGTTGCTGCTGAAACATTTTTAACTTGACCTTTGATACCGGCAGTTTGATTTCAATCCATTTTTTATTATGATCGTAAGCAACCTAATTACTTCATTACGTGCAACATAAAACATTAGTAGGTGGTTTCCTTGTATACTTTCATGTGTTTGACTGATGAATTCTGTGTTTATATGTCATAATACCGCTGGTGAGATACGTGAATATAAACAACGGTTGTATCAAGAAAAATTTTATACATTTTTTTCTTTGTTCGCAGCTTACCTCGGACTCGGAAGAATACCGGTGAGTATTAAAATGGCGAACGACTCCTTATTTTTTGAAAACGAAGAGCACTTGTTTCTTTGCTTGCTGTGAATCAAATTTGTGAAACTCGGTTCAACGTTCAAATGAAACGCAATAGATTTATTAATGAAAAAATTATGTTATCAACCGCAATAATACTAATTCATGAGCTCTATCCATCACCACCGTAGACTCCAGTAACGCGATGTGCTCTTCATCAGCACCGTAGACTCCAGTAACGCGATGTGCTCTCCATCAGCACCGTAGACTCCAGTAACGCGATGTGCTCTCCATCACCACCGTAGACTCCAGTAACGCGATGTGCTCTCCATCAGCACCGTAGACTCCAGTAACGCGATGTGCTCTTCATCAGCACCGTAGACTCCAGTAACACGATATTCATATTCACAATTCAGACTGCAAGGCTGGCGCGATTGAACGATGAGTAAACAGCGAGGTAAACAAATCGCCAATCCTTCGAAGACAAGTTACTCTGATAAATCAAGGAGGCGTCATCACCTCGTTTACTGGAACTTTCAAATTTACTTGTTTTAGCTGTGCATACTGTATCTGCTTGCTTATATGCAGCGCCTTGCTCCAGACAGAGAGAGAGAGAGAGAGCAAGTGATGCTCTCTCTCTCTCTGCCTCTGCTCTAGAGAGAGAGAGAAGGGTGACGTTTCACGTAGCCCTCTCTGCCTCTACTTCCGAGAGAGCAGGTGTCTTAGCACCTGGATCTTTCGGTCTCTGCTTTAAATAGCAGGTGACGTAGCATGTGGCTCTCTACCTCTGCTTCAGAGAGAGCAGGTGTCGAAGCACGAGGCTCTCGGTCTCTACTCCAGAGAGCGCAGGTAGTGTCGAAGCACGAGGCTCTCGGGCTCCACTCCAGAGAGAGCAGGTGACGTAGCATGTGGCTCTCTACCTCTGCTTCAGAGAGAGCAGGTGTCGAAGCACGAGGCTCTCGGTCTCTACTCCAGAGAGCGCAGGTGTCGAAGCACGAGGCTCTCGGTCTCTACTCCAGAGAGCGCAGGTGTCGAAGTACGAGGCTCTCGGGCTCTACTCCAGAGAGAGCAGGTGTCGGAGCACGAGGCTCTCAGGCTCTACTCTAGAGAGAGCAGGTGTCGGAGCATGGGGCTCTCGCGGCTCTACTCCTGAGAAAGCAGGTGTCGGAGCATGGGGCTCTCGGGCTCTACTCCAGAGAGAGCAGGTGTCGGAGCACGAGGCTCTCAGGCTCTACTCTACAGAGAGCAGGTGTCGGAGCATATGGGGCTCTCGAGCTCTACTCCAGAGAGAGCAGGTGTCGAAGCACAAGGCTCTCGGGCTCTACTCCAACGACAACTGGTGTCGGAGCACGAGGCCCTCGGGCTCTACTCCAAAGACAGCAGGTGTCGGAGCACGTGGCTCCCTATGGCTCCGCTTTGAGGCTAAAAAGAAAAATCATGAGGCGAAAGAGACGACTTGCTTCCGCTACTGGCAACTCCACTCATCTTTCTCCTTTATGCGTTTGATTTCTTTTTGCTCTTGATAATTGAAGTGATGCATCACAGTAGTACGCCCTGGTATGATGAGGTCAAAAATGCATACTCAAATTCATGCTTGATATTAATCAAATCAATTAATTTACCTATCCTATTATTATGTCATCAGCATCATTACAACGGCATTCCAATTAGAATAAAGTTTTTTGCAAGCTCTTCACCATTTGAAATATTGTTCGTTTGTGCAGATCAATGAGTAATAATGAAAAGCTTTCTTCCGTTCCGAAGTTCTGCATGGTATAGAAACAATAAAACGACTCCGTTAACTTTACGAGCTGCTATACAGGGTGTCCCAAAATAAACGATACTCAACTTTGAATGACTGTAACTCAAAAAGTAATAGAGTTAAAAACGATTTTAGCACATGTCACTGAAAGTTCTATCAAACGCTTATGGCTACATCGATCTGTCTGATTTTTGGTGAAGAGATGCAGAAAAACATAGAGAACAAATCCTGACCTTCCAAAAATTTTTAACTCTATTACTTTCTGAGTTACAGCCATTCAAAGTTGAGTATCGTTTTTTTGGGACACCCTGTATATATAGACTTCCAGAGACAATGCAATAACACCGTCATTTCACCGACGTTACAACAGAGAAGTACATCGTGACCCCCACTGAAAATAGCGTCCTAATAACTAATTTAAACTGTTATCCTCTTTCAAAATGGCAATTTTGAATACATTCATGAACATTATTCTCGTTGCATACGTTGCCTGGGGTGAATAATAATTAAAAAAACGCCATTCCCAATCGTATATATAAAATAACCACGATGAGCCCCTCCAAAACTCATGTTTCGCATAGAACTCCTTTTTGACTAACATTTCAAAATTTCAGAAGCTAATTGGTACATTTTAAATTATATTTATAAATACCAGTTTTAAAATCACATTTCAATGTTTAGAACAATCCTCTCTTCCAGGTTTTGCAATGTTTTGCTATTGTACCAATAAGAATACGTTTTAATTTTAACGTATTATTCAGCCACGATAAGTATCGTTGATACGCGCACGATCAACGCCCATATAAAATACATAAAACATTTAGGATAGCATCAGCGCTCCATTTTAAAAGTTGTGGAACTTGTGGCACAAGTTCCACTGCCGGGATATATGGCAGGATATATGATCAAGTCTCAACTTGTGGCACAAGTTCCACAATTGCAATAACTAAGGCCATGTGCAATAATCTAGTGAGGTACAATGTTGATTAGATCCCGTAAATTCGAATCTGAAATGGAAAAATTTAGCGTTTTTCATCGCTTTTTCATCATCTCAACATTACAATTTATGGAGGTCGTTATGACGAAATTCTCCCTCGCAGCAATGCACTTAGGGCTGAGGGTTCATGCTAGGGCTCGCTTTTCAACGGTGCATTTGCAAGCGCGCAATTTTTTGTAAAAAATTTTATATAGTATTGGGCCATGTTCTGTGAGGAAAGAAAATTAGTTAGAACTTTAAAATAATTGTAAACCTGTAAGCAAAGAGAAGTAAGTATCTGCTCTTGAAGTAAGAATTAAGCAATTAATACTCGGTGTACATGCGTTTTCATCGAGAAAATTCTAAACCTCCTTTGACCGACTTATCATTATTACAACTACAGCAGAAAAAGAGAGATTTAAAAAGTAAAGATTTAAGATGAATCTAAACCTCAGTGTTCGTGGCGGTAGCATGGATAAAACTGTGAATAAATTTTTTTAGAAGTGTTAATGTCATGATCTTTTATATATTTTGTTTATGCTTCAAGCTAATTAAGATATTTCAAGTCGAATACTTACCGAATGTTTGCAAATATGATATAAAGCGCGTACTTATATATAATTCCGTAGAAGCTTACAAAATTCTGAGAAATTTTTCATTTCCTAGTTATGCTATGCAAGCATGAAGACGAAATATTAGGTAAGATTTTTCATAAAATTTTCATTTAAAACTTCAAACTTCTTCAAAACTTCTTATAATTTTTTATTCAGATACTCATTTGTGTAATGTTGTAGACTTTTCTTACTTGCTATTTAAATCTTGGCCGTGCATACCTTAGATTTTTTGAGTGGCTTGATGCCAAGCTATGATGAACCCATGGGCGGCAGGATCCTATATTTTCGTCACCATGCAGTATGAATACAATAACAGTAATTACAATACAATACAATACAATACGGTAAAACAATAACGGTAATACAACAACCGTAATATAATAAAGGTAATACAATAAAGGTAAAACAATAACGGCAATACAATAACTGTAATGGTTGGCTCTCTACTGAGCAAAACTTGAACACAATAACGGTAATTTTTCTCCCCGGAGCACTACTGCACGTTAATCAAGCTTGTCTGAAACTGCTAATTATAAATTCAAAATTTAGATGTCCCGAATACTAGTACGTTAGTTTCAAAATTACTTACTTTACTCGAACTTTGGTATGATAGAATTCAGGATGATTGAATTCTTTATTACGGGATTTGGGATGAAGGAATTCGGAATAACGGGATTAGCAAATTGCAAGTGTTAAGTATCCCGAGAAACGCCGAGCAAACCTGCTAACCTGTAGTATAGTCTTTATTATTATTATTATTATTATTATGATTATTATTATTATTATTTTTAATTTTATTATTATTATACGAAGCACCCATCGTGGCGTCCGGTTCAAGTAAACTTCGAGGGCACGTCACAAATAAGATTAAAAACAAGCCAAAAACAAACAAACACAAGAAAGGATGGGTACGGATAAAATGACTAAGCACCAGATTCATAAAATTGAAGTGCAGTAGTTAAGTCACTTTTTTAAGTGAAGTGTAATAGTGAAGTCACTTCTTTAAGTGAAGCGTAATAGTCTGAATGATCCGAGCGTTGACGCTTATTAATTGTTTGCACGGCAGGCGAGTGTGAGGGAGAAGCAGGTGCGCGAGGCAAAGCTCAAGGCGCTCGGCAAATCCCAGTCTGAGGAAGGCAGGAAGCCTCCTACGCCTCAAACCAAGTGAAACAGCCTGCAGCACGTGCAGGCCGGTGAGTGAAACAGCCTGCAGCACGTGCAGGCCGGTGAGTGAAACAGCCTGCAGCACGTGCAGGCCGGTGAGTGAACAGCCTGCAGCACGTGCAGGCCGGTGAGTGAACAGCGTGCAGCACGTGCAGGCCGGTGAGTGAACAGCGTGTAACACGTGCAGGCCGGTGAGTGAACAGCCTGCATCACGTGCAGGCCGGTGAGTGAACAGCCTGCATCACGCGCAGGCCGGTTTTATTGGGTGTAATTTTTTTAATTGGTTCGTTGTAACTGTTGTGTTTCTGCTAAAATAACAATAGCCGACTCGTAATAATATTCCATAGAAGCTTCATAATAAATAACCTTTCTGCAACTCTTGCAACATAATAGTAACATTTCTCACAGTTAACATGATACATGAACACGTCTGGTTTGCAGATGCCGGAGAGCTCCGGGGATTACGATTTCTCGGTGACAGCGGCGACAGACACGACAGAGCCGCGCCACACAAGTCCTTGTCGCGAGCCAACACAAAGGATAAGCTTCTCGTCCGCAAAGACAGCACATTGAAGAAACAAGATGAATCTTTTGCCAAAGTAAGACTAAATCTCAAAGTTCAGCCAAGTACAAATGAAGACGAAAGTGACTCAGATAATAATGACAGGCAATGCGAGAAATCCATTTCACATCCACCGACAAAGTTACCTCCCAAAGATAAAATCTCACAAAATACTGCGTCTAAGCTCACAAATGAGAAGAAAATAAGCAGTGACGCTGTCCATTTGGTTAAGAAGGATTTGGTGGCTAAGAAAACAGCTAAAGGAGAGCAGACTAAGGTTGTGGAGCAATTTGAGGAAAATGATATGAGGAAAAGCGAAGGTGGACGTTTGAGGTCGTGGTGGTGCTTGCACTGCAACGGCTGGCGGGATCGGAAAGCAAGGCACTCGTCGTCTGTATGACTGTTGCAGGATGACGATGAGGAGTAGGACTCGTGAGGCTTAAAAAACCTCACATAAACATTAGTGCATTGTAGGCCATTGTGGCAGACAGTCATTTGCAGCCGTAGCAAATACTGTTCGTACACAAATTTCTCGATTTTCATTTTTTCAAGGCGCTCTGAAGTAAATTTTCGTATTTATGCTCGTTTTAATAGAACTAGACTAACCATAATTCACAGCGACCAATTGATTAGTCCGTATTATTCGTCTTATGACAGGCTGGTGGAGACCCAAAACTTAATAATATAATTAAATGAATATATGTCAGGACAAGTACAATATTCGAAATTAATTATGTTGGGATGAAAATTAATTTAATTTATCAGTAAACAATCAAGGAGACAGGCCATGCGTGTCATGCCAAAGCCTGTACAGGACACTACTGACCAGGCGGGCGATCAGTCCGTGCTTCTCTCCAAACGATATCAAACTGTTGATGCCATTAATGCCATAAAAGACCATATATTTCGATAAACATTTTGCTGACCAGGTAAAGCCGCTATAGTAACTTCAGAGACGCAACACTAACGCTCACTCCCAACGTGTAAGTATCATCTCTGAATTTTGTGTGGCCTTGTTTCTCAAATATATAATGATCATACACTGGCTGTAAGACTGGTATTATTGCATTATCGTAAAATACTCTTGTGAATATCGATGTTACTCCTCGGTTATACGTTTGGTGTTGCAATTTGAAACAAATGAGCTCACATAAGCCAGGTTACTCTAACATCTTGGCTCAATGTTTCTCAATTCTAGGTTACAATTCCAGAAACTCGCTTGAAGACATCCCATTCTGATACATAATCTCTGATTTAATGTCGCATTGTCGTACGAGAAGCGCACACCGGGCCATGTTTGGCTCTGGGTCTGGAGGTACATTATCGCGCACGGTTAGATCGAGGGACCATGCCTAAATTTGTTGCTGTTCATATCGCGAGGAGTGCAACGAGTGACCTGCCTTTCTCCGAGTAGTGGAAACTTTTTCCAATAGTTGTAACAGCCATGGAATGCTCAGTACTTGAGGGAGCCTTAAATTTTCATGTTCAAAAGTGGGCAAGCTGTGCAGCAAACGCCTCACTCTTCGCTTCTGTGTCGGACGCCTAGGTACTGCTCACGACAAAAACTTTTGGAAAAACGAATTTGCCTCTAAATGAGTGACATACTGCAGCTCATAATTCCTACCTGAACAGAATCTTTTTCGCGCTTCGAAACACTCCTGGCAAAATAAAAATGACCAAACATTCAGGCAATCGATGCTCGCAAAGGTCGCACATTCAATACGTGTATATTTTTTATGCTCGAAATGACCAACTATGCTGTTAAATTGAGGATGTTGGGGAAGGGTGATTCCTTATAGTAACCTTCGGGAATGTTCTAAGCGAGTAAGCATTTTTTTTTTGTGGAGGCAAACCTGCACATTTACTAAGAACTCACCCTGAAATATACCGTTCCGCTTGATCCATGTTTACTCTCCGAGCTCCAAATTACTTAAGCTAATACGTGTCTCTGGAGCTCTTTGAAAATATTAATACCCAACTGTTGAAAATAATTAACATCCGCTTTTGCTAGAAATTTCCCCTGTGTCACACATTGATGTACTCCTGTATTACTGTTAGTCGTAAAAACTACTGGTGTTAAACTTCAATAACGTATGAGTATATAAAATCTCAGTTATTTCGTCAATGAGAGAACTTGATTCAAAAAATCAACTTTAGCATGGGTTTCGCATTCAAATTTTTGACAGAACAGCGAAGTCTGAAACTATAGCTTATAGGAGCTTCTATGAAGATAGTGTAGATTTAGTATGGATGAAAGTTCTATTTTTCTCTAAGCATACTCATTACTAATTGCTACGGAAATTTCGTGTAACAGGCAAGTCGAAAATTTACCAATTTTTACATGAATATCATGCTTGTGTTTTTTCACTGGACTCACGACTAAATCATTAGAGTTCTGCAAGTAACATCATGCATTGATGACGAAAAATAGTGACCGAAATTCATGAATGTGGCATGACATAATCATTCTTAGTCTATTTTCACTTGTTAGATCCACCTTCAGTGAATTACATTGTTATTAGTTACTTTATATTCCAAAAAGAGGGTTGCCTGCCGAAAGCCATCCATGCACAACGTGGCTTATGGCAATTCTTACCTATCGCATAATCGGCAGATAGCCTCTAGAAAACGCAAATCTATTGCATTCGATTAAACTGCCTCTGGCCAACAAGCAGATCTAGAGTTCTTGTGGCTCAGTATTGTCTGCCAACGCTTAAAAAAATCTTTGCACCAGTCAGATACTGTGAATAGTGACTTTCCGGCATTCATTCTCCAGAGACAACTGCGTCTCATTATTTTTTTCATTCAAGTTGAAACGAGACGAGACCATTTTTAAAGCTTTGTCCCGATTGATGATAGAAATCTGAACAACTTTAACTTTTCGTGACAATCTGGACGCTTCATGAGATCTTTTTAGCGGGACAAAATGAGACAAAACGAGATACATATATGCTATACTTCTAAACATGACATTTTGATAGTGAATTTTGAGACACAGTTCGAACTGTTCGTCTGTGTTTTGTCCCTAAAAATTTTTAGAGATCGCCTTTGCTTCCGACATCTTTAAGACCGACAACAATTCAACTTGACTGTACTAAATAGTGCCGGGTATGACACCCGTTGAAATTAGGAACAATCAAAATACACGATCTATATGTTGTCTCAGTTTATTTTATTAAGCGGTTCCGAGACGCTAAAGTTTGTTCACTTTAACTTCAAGCCGCCAGTATTTATCTTCAGCATCAAATCGGCCCTTTAGTCGAACGACTAATCGTCAAAAATGGCGATAGATCTTGGATCCCAGAACGCGTCACGATCCGAAACCCAAGCCTAAATTTTATTAGCTCATAGTACCGAGCACCGTATTTTGAAGATGCTTCGATTTTTCGTATGAAATACTGAAAAATTAAGTTTCTCTGGATTATTTTTAGGTAGATAATTTAATATCGTGTCCACCCGCCGTGCCAGTTTGTAGGGAAGGCTCATTCGCTGCACGAACTGATAGCGCCAGGCAGGTTTCATGCAACTCCTCGGGGGAGCTATGACGATTGCCCGCAGAACGTTGTAAGCTTCCTACAATTCGAGCACTGGTAAGAGTATGAAGTGATGCTTCGATGTGTATTGTTAGGTAACGAACAGTCAAATAATTGCGGGTCTTTCGCTTTCTAAATCGTGGTGGGAGAGTTTTTCATATTTAAAAAAGAAAAATGGCTTGAAGCTCAATCCACGGCTGATAAGGGGTCTTTCGGTAAATTTGCTTGGAAATATATTAGAGGCTAGTCGATGTTCAAAATTTCCGTTTCACGGTGGCGCGCCCTGCATCCATTACGTTGAGGTCGTGCTTTTTAACTCGTACACTAATAGGTCTTTGGGTTGACATGTAGTTCGGTAAAAATTGAAGTAATGTTTCAATTATCTCGCATGATAAATCAAAATACGTGAACTGAAACCTTCTAGATGGATTTTCATAACCACTATTCCAGAACAATGTTAAAATGTATAAATGTGTGAAACTGGTAAGTGCGCTAAGTTATTTCTCTCAATGAAATATATTGTCAGTAATAATCACGAATGGTTCAGGCTTCAAGGTTAGGACTGTTCCGAGTGAAAAAAGTTATGTATTCCCTGCTTACCTGTCCGTCCCTGAAATGCTAAGATGTTTTTTCATTCCTCAATTCACAGTAAGAATTGATCATCATAATAACAATGATGGGAAGCACCATTTGACTGCCACCAGCCAGTCCCCGATGTCTTTCTTCTGACTGGCGCCGAGAATTGAGATTTACTTCTCTCTTGAAACTTATTATTAAACCTCCAGCCGATATCAATAAATTTACATCTTATAAACTCGTTCGCCTTTATCATGTCTCATGTGCCTCCGGAATTCCTGGCATTTATTTTAACTAAAATTTTCTTTTTAAGCGTTTATCTTGCCAGCATAGAGCCTCAATTAGCATTACCTGTACTAAATGCATCATATCATGCATAATCCTTAAGAAATTCACACCATCTCTGATGTAGTGACCACTATAGTCATAATAGTAATAAGGTATTATAAGATCGTAAATGCTTCTGAAATACTAATGTTTTCTATAACTAATACCATGCATTACCATTTTCTAAATTCCAGCAATTTGAAGGGTTTTATTAGGTGCAGATAAATAATATTGATTGTTATTTCACAAATCATAATTTCGAATAGTTCCAAACTAAATCCTGCCTACCTTTACAACAGCTGTAATTATCAGGCTAATGACCGTCGCTATAAATTTAAGATGGGGTATTAATGATCCCTGATATCACCAGACGTGAAATGAATTTATTAACTCAAATAACAGTAAATGGCATCAATGCCAATAAAATGAACTAGCTTTTTGCTAATATTTGACATGATATTTGAATCTAAATAATGTAATTTATGACTCCCGTTCAACTTTTGTGATTATTTGTGGGCGAAAAGCTGCTGAATAAATTGTTTCAAAGTTGGTATTCATTTCCCTCTACCAACTCAAGGCTAGTTGCTCATACTTCGACGCCTCTTGATGCTGCTTATCCACATTCATGTATTCTGAAAATAGTGTAAAATCTTAATGATAATTATAAGTGCTCAGTAAATAACTATAATCAATTCATGCTATGTAAGGTAGTTGACACAAAGCTTCAACACATCGAAAGTCAGCAATGCAAATTGTTATAAGTTAATTTAAATTAATCATATGAACTTTATGGAACGCTTATCGATCAGTTCAAATTCAGTTTTTTAGCGTAACGACAGAATTTGAGAAAGAGTTCTTCATTTCTAAGCGTGAAAAGTTCGACGAGTTACTTAAATATTTTGGAAAGTGTTCACAAGTTAGACTGAACTGATCATTAAAACATGAACGAGTGCATTATTCACTTCATTGATACTCGCAATAAAATGATATGTTCTCAAGTTCCTCATTTTTGTTGCTTATCTAGAATTAGGATTAACTTAGCAAAACTGATTTCAAGTGAATATGACTCTATCAAAATGTTATTGTGATTAAGATTCCTGCAACAAAAGTGCACTGGCCCACAGACGGAGTAAGGAGTAATTGTACGCTAGGAATGCTTTCATTATCGTTGTTGAAGCGAAAAATGATTTTAGGCGATTTATTGATAGGGTTGCAACGGGTGGCCTATCAAATATCAACATTGCTCAGTGACGCCTAGCTGGACTGACATGATCCCATCCTCTGATAACTAACCTTCTAGCAATTCTGATCTATACGCGTCATCGACTTCAATCCACACAAGCCAAATAAATCCCTTATATTAGACCATCAAGCCTCCAGAAAATAAATGCCAGGAATGCATGGCCCAGAGTCGTGTGCCAGCAATGAAATAAGTTGACACCAATCATACAAACACGTAGGAGCGTTTCAGCGCAACCACGTGACTGCAAAGCTCACAGATATTCATACCATATTCTTGTTGTAAAACTTGCACTAAATGATAAAATAATAGCGAATGCAAACAGCTCTCTTCACCTCCGTAGACTATTTGAAATAAATGAAAAACAACGATTTGGAAGGTAAGGCTTTCGGTCAAATTAGTACATGAAGTAGCGTATAAATTCAATTAGACCTACATATTCTGAAAAAATGAACACTCGACTGATCTCATCACACGATCGAAAATCTATTTCAGCGCAGTAACGGGAGAAGGATTTTTGAAGAAGAAAGTGCTAAACGAGGGACGAGGAAATGAACTGATTGATTCTACAAGAGCGTCTTCAGACATAGATCCCGAACAATCGGCCAATCTAATACCCAGACATTGACATGAAACCTAATCAACTTGAAGTCTAAAAACATTCCTCGGGAAATTAAAATGAACCAAGGTCGTGGCTCAACGATAAGTCCGTGGATGTGTTCATTTGCTCCAGCGTGTTTCTGTATGCAAGCAAGGCGTCTTCAGAACAAGCAACCATGTTCCAAATTTATGCTAAAATGGTCGAAAGCGTGAAGCGCACCGACCGGATGTCAAGTTATGCACTGAGCTAGGGAAAAGCTTCTGGAAAAGATGTGATAGTATGTCGAGTCCTGTTACGTCGGACAGTCACTGGAGTCTAATAATTTATTATTATTAATGTACCATTACTTTTCCAAAACTATAAGTAATTGCATGTATTGAAAATATGTACCGAACTAATAAGGGCTCTAAAATGGAGCTAACCAAAAATACTAAAAAATTTAGAAAGGGCCTTCTACGCGTCTCTGGACTTCAAGCATCAAGAGAACGCTTTTGACTGCTGAGTTCACGAGTGGGTAGAAGTCAATGGAATTGATATGACGCTAAAGTCGTCTGATAAAGGAAAAAAACTCATAAAGCAGTAAAAAAAGCACGAGGTTAACAATCATGCAACGTAATTATGAAACACGTTTTGGAAAAATCGAAACTGTCAGAAAAATAACTACCTCAACCGAAATTCCCCTGGATTGTTATCCACTTGGCAAAAACAAGATCGAAAAAAATGTGAGGAAATTTGAACTCTGATTTCTTGGTGCATCGTGCTAGAAACCAACTTATACAAAAATAGTGTTTCATGAGTGCACGCCATGTCGTGACTGGTATCATGTGGGTACGCAGCCGTGCACCACCAAATTTGTGCACCAATCAGCCTTGAAAGGAACGCCTAGCATATTTCCGGATAACCACCAATCAGCCGTGGATTAAGCCATCCGTCGGTAACCAGCCGTGACATCATCTTGCTTTAAATATTAGGAGCTTTGCCCCACCGTATTCTGAAGCGAATAGCCCAGAGAGTAATGGTTGTCCACCACTGAACGTTGCATCGAATCATCACTTCATAGGCTATGTACACACTTCATAGGCCAGTGTGGAATTCTGTATAGTTAATATATATTCTCATGTTAATATAAGAAAACGTATCGAAAAACCAACCCTACCACCGCGTTACACCACCTCACCACCCACTGCAGTGAAATCTTATAAACTGAGCTCATTGGAAACTGCCTGCCGCTCTTCCGAAATCGCGCGTGGTTTGAAATCCAATCCCGTGTTGCCAACGCCGAATCAAGTTAACTAGTCGTTTATCTGTAGGCTAGCTGACAAATTTTTGCAATGAAAACGTTCTAAAATAAAAAAAACACATCCAGAATCTTAAAAATCTCACGATTGGACAATACCAACAACGTTTTCGATATCACACAAAAGTATGAGATAAACTTCGACTTTTCCAAGGCGTACATTCACATGGTGTTTCCATGATCATAACTGACATGGCCGTCATGGCGGCGTCACAGGTGACAGGCATAGCTTTTGGTCATGTCAAGTTCGATTTCACAATAATTAGACTTGATCCACATTCCATACTGACATTTAAATGATGGAAATTTGAAAAATTGTATTAAAATTTAATAGCGATAACGTATCAAGATTTCAATCACAGAAATTCGGGTATGAGTATTTAAAATTCATCATTTGGTCATTTTGATGCATGAACAAATTAGACAGACAATTAATTTTATCGATAGATAAGCGCGCTGCAAATATTAACGATAGGTTAATAATAAAAGAAACATTTAAAACGGTAGCGGAATTTTAGGACCAGCACTTAAAAAAGTAAGCAAGAGGTTCTGAGATTTTAATACTTAATTTTTCTAACGTTATATTGACCAAACACTGCGACACTTAGCGGCTACCCAGTGCACGTGTCAGTTCAATGGCTTAGGACCGAATCGACACTCCTCCGAACCCGCATGCCGCTGGGAACACGCCGGCGGACTCAGACGAACAACCTAACTTTTCTCTCAACCGAATCCACTCATACCTCCTTCAATACTGAAAGGATCAGCTCGAAATTTTTAATATAAGTATGTATTATCATTGTCCTGCGATAGAAATAAATACCGATTGCTCTATAGTCAATGTAGTCTTAGAAACGACGAAATAGTTACATTTTAAATATTTAGATGGGATGAGTGACATCAGCGGAAATTCGGAAGGATTGTAAAAAAAATTGTTTCTTGGCGTAAAGATCCAAATACATTTTAGACCTCCATCAGAAATTGTGCAAGTGTTAAAAAAAACTTGAACTTAATATACCGTTCATATGATTTGCAGCGAAAATTCCAGTTCATTACGACTAACAAAGAGATCGCCCATGGAGGGAGAAAATAAGTGACAGATGAGGCTTATTGAATTGACTCATACCACTCAGTTAATAATTATAACATCAGATTTTTTTAATGAAAACATGAGTGTTGATTTCAACATATAACAAATATACACACCTTTAGAATAAAAATGAGCTAAGTGCGTCATTTTATTTCTAATTTTAATAATAATTGGCACCATCGCGTAGTAATGCAGCTATGCAGCGTCGACTGTCACCGGACATCAATCAGTTGCAGACATGCATTCGTGGTAAATGTTTGTGTATCATTTGCTCCTCCAAATGTCCTCGGCAGTGTGCATCACGTTGAACTCGGTTGGTGTTGGCTTAGTCGTGAGACGCTATTACTTCCTATCGTTTAGTTCGTTTGCTTAATTTAACTTAGAGACAAATTGTTAAGGAACAAACGCTTCTTAAAGTTAGTAATCTAATTGAATATTTCGGGAGTCTGTTGCCCAAAGTCTGTAAATAAAATGGAGATAGTAAATTTTAAGTAGTGAGTACAAATTTTCTCAGAGTAGTGGTTAGACTTCATGAACTACCTAACCGTCGAACGTCCAGCCTCCTGAGCTCTTCTTCGACTCGCAGTCAACCAATCGTAATTATGTCCATCTTTTACTAAAAGTTCTAATTTAACACTGATTTGGGCTAGAAATCCTTCTCAAAATTCAGAGTATTTTGATCGAATTGTAAGTTTGTATATTTTCGTGGGTCAGGACTCAAGACTGTTGCCTGAAGAGTGAATTCTACTTATTATTTACGTTATTGATAAATGACTAAAAGGCAGTTCAGAACTTCAGACCCAGACTAACTACTAGTTCTTGGATATTAAATGGTAAGCCTTAGGTGTTGACATGTTGCCAGGAGTCTGCGACTGCATCGGAGTTAGCAGTTGAAACGAAGTTAGGTTAAGGCCGTGCTAATGGTAGGAAGAGGATAGTTTATTCTGCTAGGCGAGCAACAAACTAGTTCATTAGGAGAAATGAGGTGATGGCAAGAAATGTATCGGGTAAGAATCGTGCAAGTATATAGGGTGTTAATGGAGTATAGACAAGATCATGTAAAATTAAATGCGTACAGGCGAGACATGAGAAAACGATATAAGTTAGCCGAATGCACTGAAAACTTAACTCTTAGGATGTACATTGGTAATCACTGGTTTAATCAATTAAGTATTCAGATTGGTCCGCAAGAAATAATATGAAATGTAAGAGGAGCCTTGTCTCTATCGGAGACAGTTGTATCATTATGATTTGACAATTGATTTGTTCCTGGTATCTGCACCACTTATTGTAAATGGAGCACAATTCGCATATACTGACATAGC